CGCAACTAGAGGAATTTGAAGCGGTGCTGAACACAATTTCCGTGCTAAATGAATCATTAGATGAAGAACAGAATAGAAGTAAATGCATCATCTCTAGCTGCGGAAGACATTTATTATGAAATAAAAACTGCACACGAGAAATTAATTAAAGCTGAGCACATATTCTCGCTTCTCAGCCCATGTCTGAACCAGTAGCGTACCCTAAATTGCCAGATTTGCAAATTCCTCCATTTTCCGGTCAGTACGAACAATTTCCCTCCTTTAAATCATTATTTGATGCCTTAATCCATCATCAAAATTATACAGAAATAGTAAAGTTTTCATACCTCAAATCACTTTTAGTTCATCCTGCTTCACAGGCCATTTCTTCAATCGGGTTTGATGCAGAAAATTACAGCTTGGCCTATGATAAATTAGTAAAGCGCTACAGCAATAAAAGGATCATTGCGGCCTACCATCTTAACAAAATTATACAATTTAAATCCTTTTCGGCTGATAATTCTACCAACTTCAGAAGCTTTCTGGATACATTTCAGGATAATTACAATGACCTCAAATATCTTAAAATCCACAACCTCGCTGATTTTATTTTGCTGCATCTTGGACTTAACGTTGTAAACCCAAATACAAGAAGAATGTTTGAGAATAGTCTCAGCGAAGAGAAAATTCCTAATTTTGAAGAATTTTTCAAGTTTGTTAGGTCAGAACTTAGAGTCACAGAAATGTGTTCCGAGCCGTCTAAAACCACCTAGCCTAAAGTTCAAGAAAAAAAATTTTAGTCAACCAGCCATCACAATAGACCAGATAAATAGAAAATTAATTTAGAGTGCCCAGTTTGTAAATCAAGCCATAAAATTATAAATTGCCCTCAATTTTTGGATGGCAGACTGAGAAAGTCAGTTTCGATTCCGCCAAATCCTGAAGATGCATTTTGCGAAGATCACTTTATAAATACATGCACTCGTGATCTCCAGAGTAGATTCACTGTCTCGCTTCTGTTCCATTCTTACCAGCCGATTGAACTTGATTCCACCAGAGAGATAGCTCTATGCAGATTTAAAAATCTGGAAAATAGATTTAGGAGAGATCTGGAGTATAAGTCTGCCTATGCTGCACAAATGGATGAATATATAAGATTGTATAATGTCTACCTCGCCAAGAACCCTTCTCCATACGTCATGACCCATCATGGAGTCATTAAGAATTCTTCCACGACAAAACTTAGTCGTATTTAATGGTTTGGAGAAGATGGTGGGAGGAAACTTACTCAATGAGGAATCTTACTCAAGAAGTATAAGTATAGTTAGTTTTTTGTCATCTATTGCAGACTGAATATCACTGGTAATTTTAATCAGAGCAGATTGAGTAGAGTAGACAGGACGGAAGCCAGATTGGAGAGGATCGAGTTGGTTGGATTGTTCAAGGAAGTTGGAAACTTGGGATTGCACTAACCTTTCTAGGTGTTTTGAAAGATTGGAAAGAATTGATATTGGGCGGAAATCTTTGGGAGAGGATGGATTAGGCTTTTTGTTTAAAGGAAGGACAATGGCTTTTTTCCAAGAGGTCGGGAATATTGAATTCTGCAGGGAGAAATTGTATATGAAAAGGAGAGCTGGGAGGATTTCAGGGAGACATAATTTTATTAGTTTGATAGGAATGCCATCTGGGCCTACGGAATTGGAACAGAATTTCATTATGAAGGTAATAAGGTCTGTGGGAGAAATGTCGGAAAAATAAAAATTATTGTCGTTAAAAGATACTTCTGGAGAAAAGCCGAAGGGGAGGGTAAAGAAGAGGTGGAAACCGATATAAAGTGGGAGTTTAGGTCATCAGGTGATATTGGAAAAACTGAGGAAGGGAATCTAGAAGGTTCACAGAGGGAAAGCTTATGAAGTAGAAGCCATTTTGATTTGATATCTGGAGCTGAGGAAAGGGCTTCATGAAAGTAGTTTGCTTTCGCTTGTCAGATCCTTGTCTGTGTTGTGTTACGAAGCACTCTAAATGTTTGATAATCATCTGCAAGCCTAGTCCGTCTAAAACGTCTGCGTGCAGCATCGCGTCTCTTCTGCAGATCCTTAATTTCCTGACACATCCAAGGAGCAGGGCGATGACGAAAGGTAGTGGTTTTGAGAGGAGTGTAGGTATTGAGTATATTGAGAAGATTAGTGGTGAGAATATCAACCATGGTGTCGACGGAGGAGCAATAATATATTTCATTCAAATCCAATGTTACTAGATCAGGTAATATTTTTTCTCGAGTAAGGGTATCCAGTTGGCAGAAAGTGATAGTTCGAGGATGGATTGGAGGAGTGCAAATACTATACGTTATTTGTATCAAATCGTGAGATGAAAGAAAGGATACTGGCAATTGAGAGGTGGAGAGGAGGTTTTGTGCTGAGTCGATGCTGTAGAAGTCTAGCCAAGTGACAGATCTGCTGGTGTGGTGGGTGAAGGAAAAAGGAACGATGAATAGGTGAAGTAAGAAAAACAGATTTTCTAAATAGGATTTGTCATTGGAGTTTGAGAGGAAATTGGTATTGAGGTCACTGGAGATAATTATTCTGGGATAGAGGGGAAAGAAGTTGAATAGGGTTGATTCGAAGGACGGATCAAATGGCACGAGAGGAGGGCGATATACCACGGCGTAAAGGATAGGAGAAGTATTACTGAGAATTTCTACTAAGAGGTATTCTACATGAGGGTGATCTGAAGGTGGGGAGCAATCGAGGATTCGGGTCTTTAGGCTATTGCGGACAAACATGGCTACTCCACCGCCAGTCCGGTTTACCCGGTCATGACGGAGCAGGATGTAATTAGGCAAGGATATTGAAGATGATGGAATATAGGGTTTGAGCCAGGTTTCGGATATTGCTATGATATGATAAAAGTTTTGGGTAAAGTATTGCAGGAATTCGTCATAATGGGCAGAAAGAGATTGAGAGTTAACCTGACATGTGATTAGGGAACTAGACATACAGAGGATTTGGAGAGAAACAGTCAGTGTTTGGTAGCGAGAAGTCAAAACAAATAGAAAGTACAGAAAAGCGATTATAGTACATGAAACTAAGTGAAGAAAAAGTGTATACATTAAAAATAGATGAAGAGAATGTACTTAAAAATAAATAGATTGGTGAGTGACGGTGTAGAGATAGCGCTAAGAGAAGAAGTAAGACTATTTTAATGAGGCTAAGGGGTTGACGGCTTCTAGGTAGTCAGTCAAATACATCGAGATCTGAGATAAATACTCTATGTCCATCCTCTTTTCGACACCTCACCTTTCCGGAAGCAAACCACGTATATTTGATTTTTCCCGGCGCTCTCTTCTGCCGGGCTAGCCAATAGAGGTGTCTGTTTGTGCGAGTCATCTCTTCACCCAGATAAATTCGGTGGCAGTCATTTTCCTGCCAACCGATATCCCGAGTGGAGAAATCCCTCTTCACTTTCCTTTTCGAAATTAAATCATCCCTAATTGATTGCCTGACAAAGCGTGCGATAACAGGCGGCGGTCACGAGTCATCTTTTCGGCTTCTGCGGCGATGTACGTTGTCCAGGTCCTCCACACTAACCCGGATCCCCAAGCTTGCTCCTATACTGGTCACCAAAGCAGTGGGATTTTCGCCCGGTCACTCTGGTATACCGCGGATCTCCAGTGATCTGGTTATTAGTCCCTGTTCTGCGTTGTTCAAGCGAACCTCTAATTCGCCCACTTGGGATTTGAGTGCTTTATTTTCTAATATCTCCTCAAACTTTTTAGCTTGACCTTCATCAGTCTTTCGTTTAGTTCAAAACTGAGCTCTCCGTATTTATCTAGTGCTGTTTTCATGTTTTTTATATTCTCGTTCACGGTAGCGTCTAAACGATTTACTGCCGCAAGTATTTCTGAGGGAGACGGTTCGGTATTTTGTTTTTTGACCTGTTCGCAGTTAGAGCAAACCCATGCTTTTTTAATTATTTTTAGTGCTTCGGTGTCTTTATCAGTAAGGTTGGCACCTACCATGAAAAATTATTTTACACTTAACGCAGTGTATATTGTTCTTATCTCCACGTGCGATAGAGTTATTGCAAATATTACACTGCACCATTTTTTAAATTTATTAATGAGAATTACTTCGCAATTAAAATATAAATAAATACCAGGACTGTTGACAGTAGTAAACAGTGTCTAATGCTGTATGCTGTAACATATATATATATATATATATATATATATATATATATATATATGTTTTTGTTTCGTTCTTTTTTCTTCCTATATATTTATTTTTAATTAGATATTTATTTTGTAAATATTTAATTTAATGTATGGCCACACAGGCATTTTCTCAGTATTTATACTTTGTTCTACAGGGAAAACAGTCTCAGAATACTAAAAATATTTTTATTTCATTCTAGGAGGTCTTGGATGAGAGTGAGCCCGAGACAAGACCTCAGTCAGGCTTCACTTGGTTATCTCTGTTTACGCAACCTGTCGATAGATAGCGTACGGGTGCAAAATCATTTTATTTTCAAAACAATTGGTGTGAACCAAATGCACTCCGAACATGGTAACCTTTTAGCAATGATAAGTGGGAAGAGTGAAGCGTCCTTGAGCACAGAATACTTTTTATCATTTCTACTGACCACAAGTCCATTTTTATTTAAGGCATCATTCAAAAATGCCTATAATTTCTACTTACAGAAAAATTATCTACTGCCTCAAGTGAAGACCTTGAAATAGTTTAAAAGCAGAATTGATCACTGAGTACTGCATTGTTTAACAAGAAAGCCCCCAAAAGGCTACTGGCACATATATGAGTCTACTGTTGCTAAAGGGTTAATCATTTCTAGGACTTTTAGTTTTAAAGGTTTACCCTTTTCTCTAACTTCCATCAATAAATGTTTAACACTAGTGATATTACTTTTTAACAACAATGAATGAATTATTCAAAGAAATAAGCAAAACTGTTAAATTAATAACAAAATTTGAAGATAACAATGACATTATAAAGTTTTTCACTTACCGATACATTTTGATTTTCCTACAAGCCTATAACCAGCTTCACAAAGGCAATTAGCAACAGCAACATAATTTTTCCAAGCTGGAATGCAAATATGCTGACATCCTCCATTTGAAATTTTACAAGGGTGAGTGACTACAAAATTATATAATAAACATTTTAAATATAAGGTATTACAGTATAGCAAATCAGTTTTATGGGTAATATAAATAAATAAAATGGCTATTGGTAAACAGTTAAATAGAATAGAACTGATTAATGCTAAGGTAACACAAAAATAAATTATATATATATACAGGAAGAGACTAAGAGGATTCATTGAGAGGACCCTAGAAGAAGAACAATACGGTTTTAGACCACAAAGAAGCACCCAAGATATTGTGATCCCAAACAAGTTCTAAAATGGTAACACTATTACTGGGTTTTACCCAATGGAGCCAGGATCCCTTCTCCTATCCTCTGTTCACCTCAGCTGAACACGAACTGCTTACCAAAACACAATCCTTTGTCCCCTCTCCTCTTTGAGATTTTAATTTCTGGGACAACTACAGAGCAGCCATTTTTTAAATTTTAACTAGCAGAACCAAACTAGCTTGCCCTTAAACTGTTCAACACTAATTAACTACAATTTTTAACATCTTCTAATAAAGGTGTATATTACAATATATATATATATATATATATATATATATATATATATATATATATATATATATATATATATATATATAAATGAAGAGAAGGATGGTTGGGGTGATCAGTCAGAAATAAAAAGACAAAAATAAATAATAATATTTATTTTAACATTTGCCGATGTTTCGACCTGAAGTTCAGGCCTTCATCAGGGCTGTTCCAAGAGATTGCTGGAATAATAATAAAAAACTGAGGTCACTCCATTCCAGCAATCTCTAGGAACAGCCCTAATGAAGGCCTGAACTTGTGAGCAGGGTATCAAAAATCCTGACGTCTTGGTGATAAGCCCGGTGGGAGGAGGGAGTGGGGAGGAAAGGTCACTATTTCTGGATGTTCACTTTTATCTCAAAAACCGTGCATCGCAAGGGAAATTTTTTCAATAGTAATATAAATTTCCTTATAAATTTCATTTCGTTGAGTTCTTTGCAACTATTTATTCAAAAAAGCCAATGGTCCCACAAAGTGAACACACTGTTCTAAAATAGAGTCCAACATGGCGGATTGACAACTTTGACTTGAGTTAAATTTTTTTGGTCACCGAGATTCAGCATTTGGTTTAATTTAATCATTTTCTATCATAATGCCTGATAATTTTTTTTCCATACACATTCGTGGGCACACCCACACCCACAGACACTGATACATAAACACATATGGGAAACAGTTGGATAAAATATCTCAATTAGTAAAAATTAAATCGATTAAGAAAAACTCTAACTCTAGATTGTGGGGGGCATAAAGTTTGTCTTTAACCATAACTATAGAAAATCTGTATAGGAAATAATGATCAGACTGGTATATAAGAAAATATAATTTAAAGTTTGTCAGTTAAAGAATTTGTTGATAAAGCTAACTGGATACCATAAATGATATGACGAGGGATTTAAATACTGATTCTTCAAAGCAACTAAAAACTAAAGTTTTCAACTTTTTTTCTTTTTTCAGGGAAGTTATATGTTATTCTTTGTTTTTGGCAATGATGACTTCTAATTAAACAACAATTGAATTTATTTATTGTATTTCCAAATTACATGTTTACATGTTAACGTTTCGGAATATTTACTCTCATCTTCAGAACTACAATCACAATGTTTTTTTTGTTGATTCATGGGTAAAAAAAATTGAGTTAAATTATAGTGCATGTTACAAATACATGTCAGGATTGGGATGTCAGGTTACATTAAATTAGTAATTACCTTAAATCTAATGTGCTCCATTGTCAGGTTCTAAATTCAAGTATATAATATCCAGAGCATTATCATGCTTTTAGACCTTTTTGCTTTTTTATTGGGTGTCTGCCATGGTGAATACAATTGACCTTTGGATATTACTGTTTATTTTTATACTATTGTTGTTAAATGTTTATTTTTTATGTAGCTGCAATTTCATTTTTATTAAATTTTAATTTTGTTTAATATGTCACCATAATTTGTTCCTAAATGTTTGGTGTCTTCTTAATTTGCTGTTGTTCTATTATTTTTTTGTGATGTGCATGGCTTCAAGTAATTTTCTATTGTTGTTTTTTGGTTCTGTGCCTAATATCTGTGGTTTATTGAAGTTGAAATTATGTTGTGATGTGCTAAGGCTGTTGTGTTTATTTTTTTTGTATTTTTACAGTTAGTAACGTGTTATAAAATTCTGGTCCCTAATTGTTTGGATGTTTCATCAATGTGGATTTTGGGGGAGTTTTGACAATTTAATTTATAAATTACATTTTTCTTGTTTATAAAGTCTTTTTTATCTTTTGTATGCCTGCCTGGTGATGTGAAATAGATGGAACGTTATGAATCTGAATGTCAGAGACTTAATGTTTTTAAAATAACCAAGATTATCAAAAGCTGCAAGAATGGTAGCTGGGAATAGATGCTGTTTTTCCATGAAAAAAATGCTAAATTATAACTAACTCCCTCTCTCACAGGACAAAAATCACATTGTATGAGAAAGTTTTAAGACCCGTTGTCACCTATGGTTCTGAGACTTATGTAATCTCCAAGGCCTCAGAAAGGAAGTTACTGGGGTTCTCCGCAGGATCAACGGTCCAGTGTGTGAGAATGAGCAGAGGAGAATTCGCACCAATAAAGAGCTGCATGAGATCTATGCAAGGCCGGATTTGATATCAATTGTAAGAAGATAACCAAATCAGATGGTTGAGCCATGTGGCACTATTGCCAAACGCCTGCTGGATAATGCTAAGTGGAAGACGTAGCAGAGGAAGTCCCCGTCTGAGATGGCTGGACGAGGCAGAGGACATCCTGAAAAGGATGGGAATCCTGAGATGGAGAATGCTCGCTCGAGATAGAGAAGAGTGGAGAAGAATAACAATAGAAGCCCTGGTTCTTGTAGGACCGAAGCGCCAAATAATAAATAAAATGAAGATTATTGATATCCTAAGTTTTTTTTGTTGAAGGCCAGGCAAAAGATTGATATGATACAAATTTAAAAAAGATAGGTTTAGTTAATTGGGCAGCATGTAAACAATTATTTTCAACGGTTTTCATAGATAAAGGTTGATCTCAAATCAGAAAAGCATACAGTTTTAAATATTTAGGAGGCTTATTAGTAGATTACACATTACCTAAAGATAGGTTATGTTTGGAAGTAGAAAGTAAAGATACAGTTTTGGCAAGAATAAATATGATTGTGATGGGACTACCATTGGCATTATAAGGTGAGCTTGACAGGGAAAAAATAACAAGTATTGATAAACTATTTGTTTATCCACTAAGAAAAATAGATGATTCATTTTCCTGATTGAAGAGCAATAATACTTCAAATCAATGTAAGAGTGTGGCATTGGAAAATTCCAAAGACAAAATCATTAAATTACATACAAATACCGGCTATTCATTTAAGAAACAATGTTCTATTTGTGAAAAGTTAGGATGAGCAAATCGTTATCATCTGGAAAAAGAATGCAGGAATAAAAATTTGGTTGTATCAACAAATTTCATTAACCTAAACATCAGCGTTACAATATTCTAACTCAAATGCAGAAAGTGATATTGTAAAAATGTATGAAATTAACAGAAATTTAAACTAGAAGGCCCGGAGGAATTGAACTCATTGATTAAGATACAAGTACTCATTGATAAAAAGTTAAACATCACAGCTGTTTATGACAGTGGTTCAAACGTAAGCTTAATAAATCAATGAGTAATCGATCTATTAAAATCTAGTCTGATAAAACATAAGACTGCGTTTAAAACAATTAATGGGTTCAATTTCAGTTCTGCCGGGCAAATATAAATTTAACAATTGGGAATGTATCTAATACCCTAAACACATACATAATGAAAAACAGCAACTTTTCGTATGATTTAATCCTAGGTTTAGATGCTATTACTAAATTTAACCTTATTCAAGATGAAAATTTAAATGTTTTACTAAAAACCTATTAAGATTAAATATTTCAGCTGAACGCTTTAATGAGGAAAGAAACAACTGATCTTAGGAGGATCTTGAATAAGTTCTCGCTGTTTTTGTGAAAATTAATGCTTTATTTAAAGTAAGTGGTAAGAAACACTTAATCACTCAAAATATTGCCCATTAATAGCCACTACTTTCTCCCATCTTTTTGGCAGCATATGAATTCCACATAAGAAAAACAACCCGTCTCTTCTACTATCTATGAATCTACCCATATTATTGTATCTGCATAAGAATGGAAGTGCTATTCAGCCAGACTATGTGCCATTGAATGAAATAAGTGATAATCGGAAGAGGTTACAACCTGTGAATATGGAGAGTAGGGCAGATTTCCCATTTAAGCATTTCCAGGTAAGTTTTTACCAGTTTTATAACATGTGACCAAATGCTGTCATGTAATAAAATCAACTTGGCATGTCTCTGCTAGTATAGTGCCCATTTTCCTTTAAGGCTCAAACGTATCCTTAAGTCTCGACAAGAATTCTGTGTGCTTCAGCTGGAGATTTCTTTTGAATGAAATATTTCAATAAAAGTTCCTGCAAATACCCTTTAATTGGTACAAAGCTCGACATTTTTAGAGCTACAAAAAAAATTGTTTACACTGGCAAACTAACATACACTGAAGTCCAAGCTTACCAACAGTAGTTCTTCAAAAATTGTATTACCATCTGAAACGAAATGCACATAGTACTGGTGCTGTCATCTATTAGGATACAGTGAGAACTTATTCAAGGTTCTGATACCAAGTTACCAATTTAAACATTTACTATAGTTTTAAATTAATAATCACCATACCCTCTGGTTGTCGTTGTCTGTGAAAAACTTGTATAGAAAATGGACGACTGTAGTTATGAAGAATTTCAAAGTCACCAGGATCAAATTTATTAACCCGAATAATACAATACTTTCTCCACGAAGTTGCAAAGAGATTATTTTCAAACAATGTCACATCAAATAAGTTCTGTACCTAAAATTAAAATAAAGTTGTTATTAGTTATTTCTTAGATCAGTTCCAGAAAAACAAACTTGAATTATAGATGATGAAAATATATCCTAAAACATTCTTAACATACTTATACACACATATCTGTGTATACAGGGTGTTTCAGAGTGAAGAGGCCAAACTGCAAAAATGAACTAAGGACCTCAAAACAAGAAAAAAAATGTCCTCTGAAGGTATGTTCACAAATGCATTGTTTAGGAGATACTGACACCTAAAGATTTTAGTTGTTATGAATTATTGACGTTATATGAAATAAATAAAACCTATTTATTTTTAATTAAATCTTCAAATTTTCAAGGTTATTTTTAATTAATTAATAAAATTAATGATTTCAAGGAAATAACTTATTAAACCCTTTCACCTCCTCTCAATGCTTCAATTCATTTTATTTATTACAACATTTCAGGCCAACTTTGCCCATTTTGCAGTCAAACTTTTTATCTAAAATATTACCATACATTAAATATATATGAAAAAAATGTAACAGCACAGACAACAATATATAAAATTTAAAAAAAAAATCAACTTAATGAATAAAATTTCTAGTTACATCCTTATCTTATCCTCACCTTCTTCCAATAATTATTTCATAACTATTTATGAAAAGTCCATTCCACAATTTAAAAATACTGTAATATCAAGTGTAAGGTTGCTACAACCATAAACTTGTAACTTATCTGTATGACATGTTGTAATATATAAAAAAAATAAAATAAATAAAAAAAAAAAAAATACTGCAAATTTAAAATTACATCTTAAATAAGAAAAGGGCGGCAAACCAATATTTTTTCCACATTTTACATTACTATTTTATAAATTACCTTTTGGACATGTCTCATTAGTTAAAAATTATCTTTACTAAAAATTTTCATTCCAATGCTATACATTTTCGTCCTATCTTTTTTATATCCTAATGTCCACTGTGAGCTGTGGGCTTACATATTATTATGCTCTTTGGGATTAACATTACTGCATTATTTTAATACTTTAAAGTTTCATATTTCGCACTATCTCCACCCTAAAACAGTTCAATCGTCTACGATATCTTCTTCCATATAAGTCCCGTCAACTCCTAGTTTCCTCCCACTTTGATTATGGCTATATCTTATCACCCACCGTCAGTACTCATCGTCAGATCATTAGAACTCATCGACCCTCCTATATTTTTCACAGCTTACAATTCAAATACTCCATCCAATCCCGTCCCACTAGATCTTGTACTTTCGACCTCTATCCTCCTCCTCACCGAATTGCTGTGTTTGACAAATCCTTTGCAATACAAGCCACCTCCCTCTGGAATTCCATCCCTGCTGATATTCGACACGCTCAATCAGTTTCATCTTTCAAACCTCTCCTCTTTAAACACCTACTCCTTTCTCAATCCGAGTGATTGCAAAATATACTTGAGAGAAATATTTAAGCACCGCCAGAGACTACCTAAATTTATTTAGGTCATTTTAGTTTCATATATATATGTACAATTTTCTTGTTCTTTTCTTTCTCTTCTTCAGTATTTTTATTTTTAGTCGACTCTTATTGTAAATATATAATCTAATTGTAACCTTGAAACCTTGAAAATTATATTATAGCAACTGAGTTGGACAAAAAATCGAAAAAAAACACAATGTGCTCAGCTTTTGCATTTGATCGGGGACGAAGATTTGAGGATTTATAACACGTTTGATAAGAGTTCAAATTCTGAAGATTGGAAAATCCTTCTTGATATATTTGAAAAACATTTTCTAGCAAAAAAGAACGTTGAATTTGAGAGATATAAATTTTTCATCAGAAAACAAACGAGAGGAGAGTCACTGGAGCATTAAATAACGGAACTGAAAAATCAAGCACTGAATTGTGAATTTGGGACTCTTAAAGACGATTTAGTGAAGAGTATATTTATTTGTGATGTCCAAATTGATTTACTTCGTGAAAAATTTATATAATTAGAAGACAAAAAGCTGGAAGACATAACAAAATAGCAAAAATTGCTTTAGCCTATGAAGAGTCAACAGAGCAGTCAAAAATAATTAAGGCAATCAGTAGTCAAAATCTTATTGAAATAAATTACATAAATAACAGTGATGAAAATTAAAGAAATCCTGGAACTAGAAGGGAGCAGTGCTCTAATTGTTCTAATTTTAACAATAGGCATGGCATGAAAAATTTTAGAACATGTTCCAGATGTGGTTTAAGACACGACAGAAATAAATGCCCTGCTTTCAACATAATTTGTAATAAATGTAATATCAAGGGCCATTATGCTTCACAATGCAGGACAATAAAAAAAATAAGGAGTCTAGAGCTTACTGATATGGAAAATCATTATGAAAGTAATATAAATCAATATTTTATTGATAATATAAACAGTGAATCAAACATACAAGAATGGCAGGCAACATTACTGTTGGAAAATAGGTTGAAACATAATTTTAAACTTGATATAGGAGCAATGGCCAATATAATTAGTGTCAAAGACATTGCAGAGTTAGGCATTGAGAGAAAGTCTTGAAACAGAACAAAACAAAGGCTGACAACTTACACAGGACAAAATCATAGAACGTTAGGCAAAATAGGGTTAGAAGTTCAATATAAAAAACTTACTGTTGACCTCAAGTTCTTCATTATTGAAAACAATTCGCCATCAATTCTCAGTTTGGAAGACTGTACTAAACTGGATATTATAAGAAAAGTAAATACCATTAATTGTAGATCCTTAATTAAATGCTCTCGGTGGAACCTGTCCACTAGGGAGCGCGTCCCCCGGGTGGCGGATAGGGGATCCCTCTTAGGAGGGGTGGTCTGAATATACTGAATAAAGACCTGTGGACCAACAGGTACCCAGTGCTGGGGGGTATAGCCCGGCCACCCTTCCTCCTGAGGGGATATAAATATTCAGGAGGCCAGTTGTCCCGAGGATACGGGACCTCCAGCACTGGGCTAATCACCCGTCTGGAGAATCAACGATTCAAAGCAATTCAACTAGCCTCGGATGTGGACTGTCTTCAAGGAAACGACCTGGCGCACTAAGGGATATACGAATTGGAACGTGGAACATAAAAACTTTAACTGGGAAGGAGGTCGAGCTGGTGGAGGAAATGAGGACCTACAAAGTAGAAATCCTCAGCATAAGTGAAGTGAAGAAAAAGGGCAGTGGAGAAATGAAATTGGCTAATAATTACTCCCTAATTTATGCTGGAGTACCTAGAGGGGTTTTCGCCAAAGAGGGAGTGGGTCTAGTAATGTCGCCTAATATGTATGATCATTTAGAGGACTGGGAGCCGATATCTCCAAGAATGATTGTAGCAGATTTTAAGATGACCATAGGTAAGATTTCCATAATTCAGGTGTATGCACCAACGGAAGATGCTAGTGTTGCAGACAAGGAGGCATTCTACTCGGATTTGCAAAAAATAGTAGATAAAGCTAAAGGAAAAGGAAGGTCAGTAATCCTGAGTGGGGACTTCAATGCCAGAACAGGAAATGATGAAAGATCTGGATATGGAGTTTTGGGGCTACATGGAGGTGAGAATGTGAGGAATACTAATGGACAACGGCTAATAGACTTTTGCGTGCATAATGACTTCCTCATAGGAAATTCCTTCTATCCACACAAGAGAATCCACAAAATCACTTTCTCATGCATGGAACGAAATAGTATAATTGACTATTTCATATATGATAGGAACATAAGGCAGTATTTCGCTGACATAAAAGTAGTAAGAGGAGCGGAGATAAGCAGCGACCACCTTTTACTTGTGGCTGATACAAAGATCATCCCGGAGTATAAAAGGAAAACAAAAGTATTTGAAACCCTCAACGTAAGAGCCTTGGATGACCCAGAGAAAAGGGCCCTCTTTACAGAAAGCCTGGAAAATAAATTAAGGGAAACGTCATTCGATGGAGATGTGGAAGAGATATGGAAGGCACTGAAAATATGTATTCTGGAAACAGCAAATACAGTTTGTGGGAAGAAGAGAGTGTCTGGCAAGGGAAAGCGGACAGACTGGTGGACCAATGATCTCCAACGACTGGTTTCTCAGAAGAAGCTTGCCTGGAAAGCATACCTTATGGATAGAACTGAAGGAAAGCTACACTTATATCGAATAGCCAGGAATGAATGTAAGGTAGCCATACGCCAGGCGAAGAAGAAGTCGTGGGAGGAGTTTGGTAAAAGGCTGAGCGAGGATCACCGCGAATCTATAAGAACATTTTGGCGAAAAGTTAAGATGTTAAGAGGAAAACAATGCAAGCCTATTAGAAATGTAAAAGGTAGCGATGGAATCCTACTTACAGACAAGGAAAAGATCCTTGGCAGATGGAAGGAATATTTCCAGGAACAATTCTCCGAAAATCCAGAAAAAGACCATTATCAAGAACAAGAGCCCAATATTCAAGAAAGCCTGGAGGTTATAGAGGAAGAAGAAATAGAAAATGCAATCCATAAGCTAAAAAGAGGTAAGGCATCAGGAAGGGATGGAATCGCACCAGAATATTTAAAATTCGGTGGTCAAGAACTTCTTAAAGCACTACAATCGCTGTTCCAAGAAGTATATGACAGAAAGAAAATTCCCATGGACTGGGAATATTGTATAATCCTCCCGATTTATAAAAAAGGATGCACGACAGATTGCAAAAATTATAGACCCATTAGTCTGCTATCAGTGGTCTATAAACTTTATACTTCCATACTAGAAAGGAGACTCCGACGGATTGTGGAAGGGCAGTTAGAAGCGGAACAGGCTGGTTTTCGTCCAGGCCGACAGACGCAGGATCACATCTTTGTTCTCAGAAATATTGCTGAAAAAGCTTGGGACAGAGATAAAAATCTGTATCTTGCGTTCCTTGATCTGAAGTCAGCGTTTGATGTGGTTCCAAGAAAAGAAATTTGGAATGCCCTAATAGCCAAGGGTGTACCTGGAGACTTGCTGGCGGCCATACAGTCAGCCTATCAAGGAGCCATGGCA